TATTTTGATTAGAATAATGTATTATATAGTAGAAGTCGTTGGTGCTGTCTATATCTGAGCATCCTCTCTACAAGTTCTCAATGTCCTTTTTTACGAGCAAGAGGCGCTTTGAACTCTTAATGAAGTTCATTAATGGCAAGGCAGATCTACAGCTAATGATATTGTTATTGTTAGTATTGTTATTTATGCACCATAATTTCACTTTTCACTGCTCTTCCAAGTATACTTTTGTATACATCTGACAGAAGACTTTTCAGGACATCGTAAACTCAGTAAAATATTTGTAATATATTAATTCTTCAGCCCTCCTCCACCTTTTCTAATGCGTCTAGTTGCTAACATGTTTACCAAAGAAGGCTAAATTCGTGGGCTTCGGTTCCGATGGCAGCCGAAGCTGAGATTAGCCATAGCATTTGGAGTACCATGGGTCACGGGAATAGAATTTAGGCCCAATATTTGAGACATAAGAGCAGAATATGAAATAATAATGCGGCGATGCAGACTTCTAAAGTAGACTTTTTAGCTTGAAGGAAGTCCTTAGGTTTACAATTAATACCAAGTATGAGAATCGAGAAACCTCTGAATGATGGCTTTAAAATTTGTCATCATAAGATAACATGATCAATTTTAGGTTGAAAAACTAGTGGAATATAAGGTTAAACGCTAGAGACCGTTTTGGCTTGGTTGCAGGCCCTCATCCATATACATTTTAGAATCAACTTAGACGTCCCATCGCATGCCAGCAATTGGGTGAATTGGTTGCATTCAATTCTTACCACTGCTGGGAAGCATAATCGGGAAGTATTTGGAGAAGTAGTATGTCTTTCCATCCAAAAACCAACATCGGCCTCGGAGATTCCTTTGCAGACCCCCACGAATGCCTCGCAGAATCAAATTGTTGCCGTCGTTCATCATTTCACGCGCCAATTCGCCAGGGTTTCCCAGTCTCCCAGAGGCGTATAGAGGTAATTGCCATCCAACAGATTTGGGCGCCTGAACGGAGACAGGGGCCTCGGTTGATGCCTCTGCATAGCACGCATAAAGATTAAGAAATTAAGCAGTTGGATGGAATTAGAGTTAAGGCTCACAATCACATCCATTTTACATTTAGATTGGGAGTGTGGATAAGGCAAACTTGTATTTTTCGTATATATAAGCAGAGTTTCGAGACTAACAGTAGATCAGGTATATGAAATATATATATTGACCCTTTTTCTTTTAAGGTGATGTAGGACTGATCGTAGAATTTTGCATAGCCTTGCGTTCCCAAAAGCTGTTCACATACAAGGTGGACTGCAATTTCACCTCGCATATATCTTATCAACACGCCTAGCCGAAGTCGAAAGGCCTGGGCGAGGTCGAAACTGCAGTCCAGCCTGGATGAGAAAGACTTTTGGGAAGAACTAGTAGCCAAATTCTCCCATAGCGTTATATTTAGGCTTCATGATGCAATTAAATTTCAACTAGCTTTGCTTACCTTGAGGTACTTTTATTCAATATGTGCTAAATGTATCGCCATCTACTTATTATCAATATAAGTAGTGTAGTCAATTACGATTTAAAAATGCAAGTTTGCTCGGACTTGCTTTAAAAATTCACGTGTTCTGTGGCCAACTGGTCTTCGTTGCAATGTGGAATGATAGGAAAACACCAAGATTATATGCTGCATTGGCCAAATTCGAGTCCTGGAATCGTGAAGCTCATTAATATAATTGCGAAAAAAATTCGACGATCATTTCTCTATTCTTTTATGCAACCTGGGAAGACCACCATGCATATTCAAGTTTGCCTGAGAGTCTCGTAACCTGCTTACCATCAATAGCTTTAAGCCAAAAGCTCCATCTATAAACAGCGCTCTTTTAAATATTTTCAATACCATAAATTTTTAAGCCCTCAGCAATAGAGAAAAAACTAAACATCTGTCAATGAAAATAGCAGAAATAGTTAAATAATTATAAGGCATTTTCTACTGACCTTTTGGTACACATGACAACTCGATGGACTGACCGATTGGTAGCATCAAGATACCGTTTTCATCCAGGCCCATTACGTTTACGACATAAAGTTGGTTGGATACTGATGATAAGGAAAGAAATAATATGAGTTGATTCGCGAAAGGTGAAAGCATGGCATTATGGAATAGTTTCTGTCTGGAGAACCGCATTAACTTCTCTTAAGTTCCTGAATATTTACCCATTCTATGCTGTGAATGCAGACTCTATTGTAATAAAAAAAAACTGCCTTAAGCTATTATAACAAGTCTTTCTTGACAGTATATTTGGTTCATATTTCAATAGGAGAGGTTAATAGCAGCCTAACTTGCAACAAAGTGTGTGGTGCTTGAGGAGACTTACAATCGTGGCTAGCCTCCTCTCTTCCCTCCACCGCCGGGACTAACAATTCAAAGTAGGGCGAGGCATATCGGCGTATTGGCTTTGGGAGTTCTTTGCCGTACTGTAGAGCCTGAGGGTCGTCGGGTGCTTGTTGAGTCCGGACAACGCAGCGTATTTTTACTCGATCGCCGGACTCCGGGGCGGGTGAAGAGATCAAATGGTTTAAGTAAAGCCGACCGGTCTTCGAATCCATTGAGAAGCCCTGCGCGATGTCATGCGAGCTGGAAGGACGCCCACTGACATGGGCAAACTCCCAACCGAAGCGGAACTCGTATTTTCCCGAGTCTTCCGGGATCACTTTGTTGGTTTCCGAGTCTTTTATGAGAAGCATTCAAAAATGGGTGTGAAAACAAAAAAAGAAGTTAAATGAAAGAGAGAATTTTATCATTATATGTGGTTATAAGTAGGTAAGTGGAGGAATGACTCGAATGGCTTGACAAATGAAATTTTTAGAAGAAGCCCTATTAAAAGTTTAGGCGAACGATACCATTTTTGTAACTTTTTGTGCGATTTCAGTTGACCACTGGTAAAGAAGCTCACCTATATTTAAATTCTAGAAGACAATTGAGAATCTGATGATTTGAAGTACTTCCTGTTACATGTAAAATATAAAGTGAGGAATAATTTTGTAAGACTTGCTGGTAATCTAGAAACCCTACTTAAAATGTAAAATTGGATAATGGCTATGTCAAATATATAATTATGAAATAAAGCTAGACTATCGCTAAAACGGTTTAGTCCTTTCGAGTTGAAAGGAGGCATATTTCTTCGAAGCCGTTTTAGCTGTGCGTCTACTTTACGAAAGTAAAATGTGTTTTAACTGACTCACAGCAGGCTCAAGTTCCCCCCCCTCCTCTTCACAACATCTGTTCAACTATAACAGTGTTTGTCATTCTACGTGGTTATAGTTGCTTGGATTACAGGAAATGAAGGCTTCTTCTCAAATTTCTAGCACCTTCCAGAGTGGTATTTTGCAAAGATAGGTGAACTTACCATGTGAACTCTTCCGTATATAATATGGCTTTACATACCTAAGTTATATGGATAAGATTCGCATGTACGACATGTATTTACTCTCGAATTTAATTTACCTACTTCTGTGATGCTCTGGTGTGCTCCACTTGAAATGTTGTCTGCTCTTAACATTTAATTATCATTTATTAAATCAATCATTTTACTGGTTAGTTAGTTCTGCAATGTTTACCTTTTACGATGCAAAGAGCGGTGGCATTCTCTTTCGGGTTGCCAGTGAGTCGTCCGTTTGCATCAAGACCCTCGACAACGATCGTCAAATCGCCACCATCGGGTTCTTTGTCTAATGGTATATAACAAAGTATGGAGTCATGATGAGTTTGATATAATAAAACTATGCAGTAACAACTATATTCGCCCACAAAAAGCAGATTAATTATGGCTGTTTTATCCGATCCAGCTTAAAAGTATTAGACACTCTTTAGTTTAAAATATTTACTAAACAATTATTCTGCCGACTTTAAAGGCATCCTTTTTCACTATTATCTACTTTAGTTCATCTACAGGAATTGCTTGAAAATCCTTCAGGATGCCAATACTTATAGTGTCATCAACTACAATCTTATCGACAGAAAGTTTAGAAACCCCTAGAAAGATTTTCATTCTTCTTTGAAGTATTTGGTGAAGTAGAGGTCCAGCTCAGGATGATTTCTTTCCTTAATTATTTTCTAGATCTGAGGCTGGCCGCGAAATCATTAATAGGATTCTCTTTGCTTCTAAAAAATAAGTTCAGATACCAGACGTAATACACAAGACAATATTTATCTAGAAATGCATAACGAAGTTGAATCCTTTAGTCGAATTTGATGAGTTTTATTAGTCCGTAAATTTATTTTTCCATATACATGTTAACTGGAAACTCTTCTTTGCTAGACCCTTGTAAATTTTTTTCAATAATCTTTACTGGTGAGCAAACGTCTAATAATGGAATGAAATAGTTGACTTTTACAAGCGAAAGTTGCAGTATCCTATTAGAAAGTAGAAAAAGTAGATTTAGTATTGAGGGATAGCAACCCTTAATTGATATTCCCCGGAGAATTTCAAATTCAGCCAAGCCTTATCAACAAACTCAGACGGACTTGAAACTGCATAAAGATAATGGCCCGATGTTAAATCCAGTTAGAAGAGCATATACATGACCAAGCTGGAAAATTTCCTTCTGCCAGGAGTGCAAGTGCTGATTGTAAGTTGACCCAATTTCCAAATTTCCATCCCCTTTAATCTTTGGCAGTTCAGCTCTCAATCATTTGATAGCCGAGGCTATACGAAAAAATTTGTAGTCCACTTTAGGAAATGTGAACATCTTCCTTATTTTATATTGACTAAGATTGAACCCGGTTGTAATGGTCTTATTCAACAGTGAAGAGTATTTCATTAGCCAACGACTCGTGGAGGCCGCTTGGGATGAGGATAAAATTGATATGACTTCTTAAGGAGAAAATTATACCTTACTGTCCTCTACTTTTCCGTTTAAATGAATTTTATCGCCCAAAAATAGCCATTTAAGAACATTCTAGCCTTCATTTGACCGGTGACTAACCAAGAGTTTTGTGGAAGTCCAGTTCCCGTTGGCCTAAACCGTCTCGGTCAATCACGTCGAACTGGAAGTATGGAGAATAATGTATTCTCCTAGACTCCTCCAGTTTAAGTTCTTCATCAACACCTTCCACGATCGGCTGCTTGTTTCTCTTCTCCATGGCCCAGCATCGGCCTTGAATGTTGCTAGTCTGTCGTAGGCCGGATAAACGTATGAACCGGCCATCAGTTTCCACACCTTCGGTGGCAAATGCCACACTGTCGACTGGATTGCCATCCAAACTGCCAAACTCCCAACCGTATATCATACTTTTAGCAGCAGCCATAGTCTCCCTATCTGTAAAGACAAAGCAAGTATAGAACAAATCCATGAGCAGGTTAAAAATTAATCTTTATTTGACTACCTCAACTAGACTCTCCTAATAAATTGATACTATTGGATATAATATAATTTTATGGGCCGCACTGGAAATATAGACCTTTTCATGTAACCCTGGTTACGAGCTAGTAACCAACTCGCATAACCCACCAGATTGAATGCCGCGGATAAGAATAAGCATAATGGCCGATATGGTACTTTCTAAGCTTGCTTGACTCTCTCGCAATTTATGGTTGTAATCTGATTGCTTTCTCCAGCCCCAAGAATGTTGCACCAAAATAGTGCGTTCGTCTTCTTCTTCATAAATGCGTAGTATCGCTTTTGTGGTGCTCAACAAAATATATTCTCGAATTGCTTATCAGATGAAAATTCTGTGCATATTTGTCCCAGTTATTTATAAACACATTTTGCCAACTATACTGTGAGCGCTAATACTCAAGTTGGATTGTATTCAAACCATTCTTTTTCATAAAAGGCACAAACCTCGGTTCAAATGGCACTTCTTCCAGCCTTATACTTGATACTTAATCCCTGATATTCTATATTCCTCTCATCGCCCTCTTTTTTTAGACTTCACAACATTTAAAAAAATGTAAATTTTCGACCAAATTATACAGGAAAAAAGGGTCATGTGCTTCATTTTGGAGCGTTATCGATAGCGTCGCAAAAGTCGAAAATTAACTGAACTTATAAAACCCGTCACAGACCATATCAAGTCTCACTACATAAATTTAGCTGAGTTAACAAGGCTATATGTGAATTAGTGTCTTAGATGAATTTTAATATTTTCTATCATTAGAGCCTTCAGTAAATTCGTCTTCTATTAAATACTAGATCTGATAATTTAATTTAGCCTTTACTTAAAGTATTTAATTGCCATGCTTGAATGGACCTTCGCGCCAAAGCATTAGACTTTTCAGTGATACTAGTAAGAGTTTTTCTTCCGACAAAGTCTAGTCAAGCAACAAAATCTTATCAAAATATGCCAGTGACTGATCCCAGATACCATTTAATTGGACCCAAACCTTTCAGCTCTTCATCATATTTGCTAGGAAGTTGAGCTTGTCGAAAAGAGAAAGTGGGAAAATGAAATAATTATGTTTATATAGCGTGGAAAAATTTCAATGAATTAAATCATTTTAGATACAGATGATTTGTTCTTACCTGTTGCTAAGCATTCAAGTATTCTTTCGCTGCCCTCTGTCGCGTGTAGTCTGCCTTTGTTATCGAGGCCACTGACAACCTCTACTTTGTAGAGCTCTGATTTTTCTGTGCAACAATTTATTTAAAAAATGTTTTTTTTATTTTTTAATTTTAAAATTTATTAATATACTTATAGTTCATTCTAAAAATCTCTTTAATCAGGAATCTAAGTAAAGTTAAGGCTTGATTAGTTGTGCATATTTCTAACCAAGTCTGGAGTGTGATGCCTGCTGTCATTAGGCCATTAAAGTGTCCCCATCTGAGACAGGAATGACCACACAAAAGATTTAAGACGAGATGGTGTATCCATTCATTATAAGGTTTCAACCGAGTTATACGTAAAACGAATGCTTAAGAAAGGGAGATCATCTCTATTCTTGGCAGCTGAGAATCACCAAATATACGAGAACTCATGCAAATTCATGCCCCACTATTAATATTGGCCTCTAGCATGTAGAAAACTTGGAATCTAAGGCGTTGATCATGACGTAATAGAATCAAATTTAGCACAAATTAGTTATATCCACTCAATAATCCCTGGCTCCCTAAACCAACTCACAGGCCCTCCATCAACAGGACTCAAATGGGAGATGAAGCGGTAGTAGCGCATCATATAAATGGGTAAAGTGAAGAAAGGAATTCATTTGTAGACAACAAAATAGAGAAAGGTTTCTTTTGCACATATAGAGATATGAAACACCTGAAATCAGGTCTCTTTCCTGTCTTCTGACCACTTAAATAAGTTTTCCCTCAAGGTAGAGTTGGTTTAACTACGGTTTCAAGAAATAGTCTTGCTAGCAAGTAGGCCTTTAAGAAGATGCTGAGTCGTGCATGATTGACATGATTTCCTGCATTGGATTTGGTGCATTCCCTGCTGTCTCATATTTAAGTCCTTCACCGATAAACATCATCCTTAACCTTGAGTAATTAGCTCCAAATTTTCGAAAAATGCAATTCGATTAACCAAATATATTTCCAACGATTGTTGCATCTTTCCTTAGTTTTTAATTACTGATATTGCTAAAACTAGATAAAACCATCTCTAAAATGGACCAGTTTGGGTGCGGCTGGCTTGACGACTTTGTCAATCTACGTTTCGAGTCCGTCTCAAAAAATTATCGTCATCAGCCTTGCAGACTTACCCTTCTCCTTCATAACTTCTTCTTTGGTATCCAACTCTTTGC